GGCTCATTAGGAAGCTATAATGTCATAGTTTTATCTTTGATTAATAATGATTTTTGAATTTGTTATAAAAGTACAGTCTGCCCTTGTTTCAACAAAGTGGCTGGACATATAAGAAAATTTTATTCAACATTCGTTGAAACAAGGTTACTAATCACATTTCAATGAATTTTTATATGTTTCACGATGTGTAACAACGTTTTTAAAAATTTGTTGTATCAAAAATTTAATTATACTTTGTTGAAACAAGAGTTTACTGTAATGAGATATTTTAAAAAACTGATTTGTTACATGAGTCAGGTTTTCTATTTTATATATGTAATTACACTTCCTGTGACATATCATTTGACTGATAATTCTTAATTCATAATCTAAAAATAGCATCAAATTTTTGGAGTTCAAAATAATCAGATCTCATGTAACAGATTTTTGATCTACAGTCAGCACTCGATATAATAATTGGTTTTGACAAAAAACTTCACTATATAAAAAGATCGGCAAAATTTTACAAAAATCCCGTGATACAACTTTATTAAAAAAAAAATTATAAAAATACATAAAAAAGAAAAATAAATAATAATATATAGATAATTTCATAAAAATAATTATTTAGTAATTCAACTTGTAGAACAGACAGTAGTCGTTATGAAAATCAAAGAATCAGGAAAATTAGTTGGTGGTTATAACCCTGTTTGTTGGGATAGAAAAAAAAAGTCACCAGATGACATGTATTGGATTAAAACAAGTAGAATCAAAAATTCTAAAAATGCAATATGTCATAGTAAAAAAAAATGTTGACATTACTGTAGGTGAAATACAATTTCATGAAATTAGTATGAATTTTTATGATTTAGCATTATATAATAGCATTAACAATGAACCTTATTGTTATTATCGTTTTAATAATAATTCTGATGATTCTTATGAAAATAATTTGAATATTATAAATAATGATGTAAAAGTTCATTTGATAGAAGAATTCAAGGTGTATAGATTAGTAAAGAAAAATTAATTTTATATAAACTTTTTTTTAAAGAAAAATGGAACTTTGTTATTTTTTCATCATTAGAAAATATAGGAATATTATTTAACAGTTTTACCATTAAAACATTTTAGTAAACTTGTAGATATTGTTAAACGTAAAGCTCCTAACGGGTTGGGTTCGGGCAGGTTAAGTGTCAACCCGAATGTTTTAAAGGCCAACCCAGGACTGACCAGCATAGTGGAAGTTTGTTGTTACACGAAACGTTATACAGAACTCATTGCTTCTGAAACTTCGCCAGTATATAGTCG